AGTACTCCTCCACCCGCCGCAGGTTTTGGGAGCTGATGAGGTGCATGATGTCCTTGAACCAGGTTTTGGGAGCATGTGGTGCGAGCCGGGGCTCGAGGCAAGGCAGGCGTGGGCGCTCGTCCCCCCGCTCCTGGGGAAAGGTGTGCACCAGCTGCTCGCTAGTGATCACCTCCAAGGCTGTCTTGGCCACCGTCTGGGTGAAGCCATGCTCCAGTGTTTTGCAGTAGTAGATGCCGGCGTCGTCGCGGTGCAGCTTGCGGAAGAGTAGCCCTTGCTCCGTCTGCAGGATCCGCTCGTCCGTCTTCACCTGTTGGCCACCACAAGGTTGGGAGGGGTCTGGGTCCAGCCCCATGTCCCTCCCATGTCTTCGCAAGGGGAGCCTCACCTCGTCCCGCTGCTCATCAGGGGGCCTCTGGACAAACCACTGCACGCTGGCCTGCGGGGACCGGGGTGTGCACTCCAGGAAGGTGCTGTTGTTCTCTGCCCCGTACAGCACCTTCTCCTCAACGCTCGCAAAATCATCCACTGGGGTGAAGACAGACACGGGCTCACAAGGAGGGCAGAGCCAGGCTTCCACATGCCGGGCTGTCAGATCCCCCCCCAGGCCACTGTGTGGCTTCAGTCCCCTTCTCCCCCTCTCCCCAGGGACAGATCCGAGCCCCAGCAACACCCACCTTCTCTTGGGGCACCCCTCAGTCTATACAACCGGAAGACAAGGGTGGCCCAGCCCACACGGGATGGCTGCAAGGCCCTCTGCATGCCAAGGGCTGTGGATGCCAAGACATCTCGAGGCACCTGGACAAGGCCCTCAGGCCTGTGGAACCCCTAGTCTCTCACCAGTCAGGTTCTGGTCCAGACACTGATGCACAGGGTTGCCATGGCGGATGTCCTGGCGGCGATAGCGGCGCTTGCCAGAGGGCTGGTAGTGTGTGCAGGCAGTGCCGTCCCAGGCACAATAGGGATCCCTGGCCAGGCAGCATTCGGCACAAGCTATGCCATAGGTCTCGCACCGGTGCAGCTGTACCTGAGCCACCCCCAGGCTGGACCCCACGTAGAGCGTTTGCTGGGGAAATGGCACCGAGATGGTGATGCCAGCAGCCCCCACAGGCACAGCACCCAGGGTCCCCAGCTGGGACCCCGCTGGGGGCAAGCACCATGCGGGCTTTGAGAGGCTGGTGACAACAGCTCAGTCCCTCCTGGTCACCTGCCCTGTCCCCAGCCCTGTGGCCAAGCTGTGTCCATACTCACGCGCTTGACGGAGATCTCCATCTGGGTGATGGGCACAGGCACCTGCAGGGAAGGAGAGCAGACATGAGGCTGGCAAAAGCCTCTCTGTGGAGAGCCTGGATTGTTCAGCAACACCAGGGCTTTCAGGGGGCACCAGGAATGTTATGGGGAGGGTGAAAACACCCCCAGCCGCCCACTGCCCTTACAGCCCTGAGAACTCCCAGTGCCCAAAAGTGCGGTGACAGCCCTGAGCCTCCGTCCCCATCTGTGTTCCCAACCTGAGCCCACCTTGCTGCCCCCTCCTTTGCAAGCAGGGCAGCAAACAGTACCTTAAAAACCTGCAGATCCTCCAGGACAACTTCCTCAGTCGTGGCCAAGCTCGTCTTCTGCAGGACCACCACCTTCAGCACTGAGCCGGTATCTGTAGGGAGGAGGAGGAAGATGGCAGTGTGCCCCAGACTCGGGGCTCCTTCCTGCACACCACTCCTGCTGCTCACCCGTCCCGAGGAAGAGGACATCATGCTGCCCATCTTCGGCCTCCACCCGGTCCACCACGAGCTGGCGCAGGCGGTGGGGCAGGTCGGTCTTCACTAGGAGGGGCCGTCGGTGCTGGGAATACACAGACTTGTACATCAGGGGGTGAGCACGGACAAAGTGCAGCACCTCGTCAGGGAAGTCCTTGGTGGTGCCGTACTGCCGCCGGGGCTGGTTGGTGGTCTTGCTGGGACACTGCAGAGATGAGAGGGGACCAACTCAGCCCTACCACCGCAGCACCCATCCTTCCTTCCCCCTCCATGACCCTGCAGAGCTGGTTTGGGTCCCTCCCCACCTTTCAATTTGGGATAAGTCTTCTCCACCTCTTTGCCAGACCTCAGTCCCTAACTGTCCCAAGGTGGATCCCATAGGGAGCCCATGCCAGCAGGTGAGAAGATGGGGGATTAAAACCCCCCCGTAAAGAGCAATCGGGGGAGCAAAGGGGACCCAGAGCTCCAGGGAGTCACTCACCACGCCTGGCCGTGGGTAGGGCACCCTGCCCTCGTAGGCACTCCACTGGTGGTGGGGGCTCTCGCGGTGGGCGAAGGGCCCATTGAAGACCTCCCGGATGTCGGCCATGCGGTACACGCAGACAGCGGAGCCCTGGAAGACATGGCTGAAAGGGGATGGTGAGTGGGGTGAGCAGAGAGCCATGCTCAGCGCCAGTGGCATCGGTGTGGGGCACGAAAGCACCAACATCTCCGTACAGGGCAGAGCTGGCAGAGGTTGGGAGACAGCCAGCAGCCACGTGGTGATGGTGACAGGGCAGGTCATGAGTGGCTGCGGCTGGATCACCCACCTGATGGTGCTGAAGAGTGCATAGATCTCTGGGTTCTTCCCATCCTTGGTCCTCAGCAAGAAGACATCCTCTGGGGATGAAACCATGGGGTTTCTCCTGGAAGCAGAGGGGCTTCCCGAAGCCACCAACTAAGGGACAAGCTCTGGTGAGGTCCCCAGCTCCATGCACCCCTTACCCAGCTCATCGAAGTGGGTGTCAATGCCACCGGGGCCAGGGACAGAGCACACCAGCCGGGCTTTGTTGAAGGTACTCCACTTGTTGACTAGCACCCTTTGACCACCAGCATCGTTCTGCAGGGACAGGAAGCATCAGGGACACCACTGTGACTTGGCACATCCTTGTCCCCTGTGGTCCCCACCAGCATCTTACCACGCAGACCCGTGCCACCCGGCTGACGATGGCGTGCTCCTTGCTGTCTGTCTCCACCACCTTCTCCGTGAAGAAGAAATAGGCTTTGTCGTTGTCCCGGTCATCGTTGTCCGGGATCAAGTGGGCTGCCACAAATTTGGGGTCTACAAGCAAGAGCCAGCCGCGTCAGGTGGTGTGAGAGGGCACGGCCACTGACTCTGGACCCCCACACCATGCTGGAGGACCCCCAGACTCTGCTGCCCCAGTGCCTTTCCTTGCGTGTACCTGGCATGGGGGATGCTGCACTATGGCCAGCAGATGCCCCGGCCACCACAAGGCTTGTGGTCCCCAGCATTAGCCCAGCTGGGGAGGATGGAGGGGCAGAGGGGAGCCGTTACCATTGAGTAAGCGCTGGTCCACCTCAGTGCGCAAGGCGGAGCGGGTCCCTGTGCTGCGGAAGATACCGGGATCACGGCCCAAGAAATCTGCTGTGAGGCCAGTGTAGAGCTCCCCACCTGGCAAAGACACCCCACCACGGGGCTGAAAGCCAGCCCTGGTTGGGATAGGGACCATCCCTGGTCCTGGCACCCCAAAGGCTCTCGGTTCCCAAGGAAGACAACCCACCGATGACAGTGCTGGCAAAAGCATGGCTGGGCTCATGTGGGCACCTGCCCCGGCAACGCTGGCAGGATCCAGGCTGAAGACGTGCTGGGCGAGAGGGTGCAGGCAGGGAGCAGGCAGGTGAGCCCCCACCTGTGCCACAGCCATGGGGCCGTGCCTGGGCATGCAGGGGCCGGGGCTGGTCCCTGCCCAGCTCACGGGCACCTTGCTGCAAGCATCCATAGCCCCAGTGCTCCCAAAGGGACCATCTGGAAGTGGGATCCATGGGTTTTGAGGGAAGTCTGATCCTATGAGGATGCACAGGACCCACCAGCCCCACCACTTGCCCCTCAGCCTGGCCAGAGGCAGGGGTCCCACTGACAGCACAGCACCAGGCTGCGAGGAGAGAACAGGGGGCCCTGCCATTCCACCCCAGCCAACCTGATTTATGAGCAGCAAGCTGGGAGAGGAGGAAATGCCACCCATGCCACAGCCCCTGGCAGGACACCAGCCCCAGGGGACAGATCTGGAAAGGCGATGCCAGGCCAGAAAGCTGGGGTAGCTGGGGAGGGTGTAGCAAAAGGGCAAAGGAGCAACAGGGAGCTGGTTGCTGACACCCCCCGCTAGTATTCAGCATGGGGCAAACACTGCCTCCAGCATCCCCACGCAGTCCCGAAGCCCCCCAGGAGGGAGGCAGACGATGGGAATCTACCTCCCAGGGGTGTCCTGCTGGGGCTGCTCAGGATGAGCACCTCACCACGGTGCTGCCCTACCTCACCACGGTGCCCCACGTAGACGAAGGCGCAGATAGGGTGGAAGGCGCCCGTCCCGCAGGCCAGCAAGTGCGTCCGGTTGTAGGGGTGCAGCACACGGACATAGTTGGCACAGTCAGTCTGGCAGGACAGCAGGGGAGGGGAAGGGTGGTGAGGGGCTTGGTGCTTTGCCTGCCCCCAGCTCCCTGCCTCTGGCTGGGGACCTACAACAAGGGGTGAGCCCCAGCCCTGGCTCCCTGGGCTACACTCAGGCTCTCTGCCTTCACTCCAGTGCCAGTGGTGCAAGATGGCAGCTTGCACCCACCGACAGGGCTTGCACAGAATTCATCTGGGTGGACCCCAGCCCATTGCAAAAGATTGGGGCTTTTTACTGGTTCTTGTGCCACTGAGAGCATCCCTGGGGGAACCACACATGATCCAGCTGGCACCTGGGCATCTCCTGCCCATGGGCACCCATGTGCTCACCCCATCACACAGCCCACGCCGGCCAGGGGAGCAAGGTCCCAGCAGCAGCTCCTACAATGGCCCCAAATCCCTGGGGACCCTCCTCTTCCCGGCGCCCAGGACGTGACCAGATGCAGGGACATCCTTCCCCATTGTGTCCCTGCTCACACAGGGGAGGAAACAAAAGGAGGAAATGCAGGAGACGGAGACGGATACCCACGGGCATCCTCAGCTGCCTCCAAGACAGCCACGATTGCTGCTGTCTGGGATTGTCCCCTTCTACCAGGACCCAGTAGCAATGACAGCCCTGGGGCCACAGACCTGCCACCTCTGACCTTGTGCAGTCTCTCCTGACAGTTCCCACTGGAAAAGGGCTCCCATCCTTCTCCCACTCAGGCACCACCACCGTTAGCTCAGCAGCTCTCCCTGGACACCACCAGCCCTGCCTGACCCACATCGTTCCCCCCCAGCAGGACGGGAGGCCCCTTGTCTGCTGGGAACACCGCCACCGAGCTGCCCCGGGGGTTCCCAGCCTCCCCGCTGTTTATTTTCCCTTTGCAAAGAGCCTCTAAAATAGCAAGTTAAAAAAAAAAAAAGTGTTCAAGAAAAATAAAAAATTGAGCCTGCCCCGGCTTGCATCTGTCGGTGAGAGCTTGTAAAATAAACACGCAGAGCGGGACGGGGACTCTCGGGAGCAATTCGTCTGGGCTGGGGGAGCCTTGGGGACTTTCTCCCCACCATAATCCTGTTTCATATTGGGGCAGGGGGGATGCAAATAGTAGTAAGGTTTGGGGAGCGAGGTCACTGAACCTGAGCGAGTTACAGATTTCCCACCGTTGGGGACAGCCAGGATGAGCCAGACCACATCGTTGGGGGCTGGAGCACAGCACAGGGCTTTTGGTCACTCCACGCATGGCGAGGCTTGGTTACTGAGCCTCTGCCTCAGTTTCGCTTGTGCACTGGGATAGTCCCTTGCTCTACTCCAGCATTAACTGGTCTGCGATCCCCACAGGGCAATCCTCAGCAGCATGGCATGGCATAGCCCTGGTGTCAGGGGAGGCAGCTGGCACCAGGGCATAAGGGGACCCCACAGCTCAGGGCAGAGCACACATGAGGCAAGACTCACCCCTGGGTCCTTCCCCTTCCGAAAACACTCCTCCGTCTGTCCAGGGAGGGGCGGCCAGTAGATCTGAAACACAAAGGACCTGTTGGAGCAGGGAGGGGGAATAGCAGGGACCCAGCCTTGCAAATACACATCCAGGCTGCTGATGGCATGGGGATGGAGAGAGGGACAGAGAAAGGGACTAACAGCTCCCCGGAGCCCACCCAGCCCAGGGCTCCCACCCTGTGACCCAGAGCAGGACCTTTCCTCCTGGGGAGGTGCACCCTGGCAGTCACAGCCTGCAGCCAGGCTGGATTTGGGTGGTCACACTGGGGATGGCCAGAGCTGACCTGTAAGGGGATGGACTTGTGGGTGGCCTGGGGGAAGGGTGCTGAGGGACAGTAGGGGGCAATGGAGCCCGAGTTCCCCGCAGCCTGTGGCAGCTCTTGAACCAAGGGCAGCTTGGATACACAAGCCCTTGACCCCATGGCAGTGACCCAGCACACTAAGGGGCACTTCATTTCCTTCTCAGCTTTCTTTGGCTAGAAATGGTCCAGGAGCCATGTTTGAAAAACAAGAAGTCAAAATGGAGAGGGTGAAGGAGGAGGGGAGCCACCACTCAGTATCACCGCTCTGGTCCGTCAGCTCTCCCACTGAGGAACCAGGGGAGGAGGTCTGGGGGCTTTGCTAGCTGAGCCCTAGCACAGCGCATTGCAAAGATGGATGCTTTTAGCTCCTTGTCTCTGCAGGCTTTCAGCTGTATATTTGGCCCATGAAGGGGGTGCCCAGATGGGGATGGCAGCACTCAGTCTCCCAATGGCAGCTTTATAGGAGAGTGGGGTCTGAGACCCCACTCAACACCCAGGAATCACCGGTGAACTGCACCACTGGCCTCCCAGGCTGCCAACTACGACTAATTGCCAACTAATTGCCCTCCAGTCCCCACAGCCAGCCCGCACTTGCCAGGCAGGACAAGTTTTTGGATACATTTCAGGGCTTGAGATGGGGACATCCCCAGGGCAGGTCATGTTTCTGGGTGACTAAACCTGGCTCGGTTGGGCACTGTCCACTCAGAGGGACGAGGGGTCAACAGGGGCCAGGGTGGAGATGGAGACCCTGGGGTGCTCAGCAGGACCCAACTTACCTCCCTAGTGTCTGTGCTGGCCCTGTCCAGGAGCAGGGAGTAAAGTGCATCCTTCCCCCCAATGAAGAGCCGGTCACGGTACTCATCCAGGTAGAGGGATCGGAAGCCCGGAAAGCCTCGGTGGCCGAAAAAGAGGACGGAGCGGTTGGTGCCCAAAAGCTCTGCCAGGGAGGGAGGGAAGTGTCAGAAGGAGCCACCCCAGCCCAGAAGACCCACAGGGCTCTGTAAGCATGGCTTGTCCCAAGTGTCCCCTCCCAGTTGTGGGCACAAGTGCTTGCCTTGAGCCTGGGGGACATTCGGCTCCTTGGTAGCCCCCACCATGTCCCTCCATTTGCTGCGCACGCCAGGGTCCCCCAGCTGCATTCGAACACCAGCTCACAGCCCACTCAGCTGGGACAGCGCAGCCCCGGGGCCCCAAGATGTCACCCAGTGCGTGGACAGGAGGGAAAAGTGATGGATAAGGTCCCACGGCTAAGTGCCCTCACACGCCCCTGGGACACCCCTCCCACCTGGGGGCCAGCCACCGGAGTGTGCTGCAGCAAAGGGGCATTGTGGCAAGGAAAAACAGACAGGGGCAACACAATGGCAGGTGCCAAGTAGGCTCCCAGCCCCACAAACACCCTTCACACCTGCTTGGGGTGAAAGGATGCTGAGACCCCCACTCTAGTGGCAGCACCAAGTGGTCCTGGCCCTTGTAAGGAGTGAGCAGAGGGCTGCGGTGGGTGCAGAGGCAGGAGGGTCCCTCTGAACTTCTGGTTCTGAGTACCCCAGGGCCAGCAGTAGAGCTGCTCCCAGCCTCTGCAGACAGCAGCATCCATCTCTGTCCCTTCTTGGAGGTGCAGGCATCCCAGCCTCACCCTGCCCGAGGTGCTGCTCTTCCTCCCAGCCTAGGACAAAACAGCAGAGCCGGCAGGCTGCAAGGTCCCAAACAAGTTTGCCCCCATCAAGGTTTGGCTGAACCACCCCGGACTCCTACCACAGCTGTGCCAACATGAGTCGGGGCGTGCGAAAGTCTGGTGAAGGCTGTGCCATGCCGTCAGCCCCAGGCTGGACTCACAGGGAGCCCGGGAGGCTGGCGAGAGTGGACACTGGGTGGGCAGAAAGTGGGTCCTGCCCCCGCCCTGGGTGCCAGCCGGGGACACAATAGCAGGTACCCAGCCAGTGCCATGAGGAAACCGGCACACAAAGCCGGTTGCCGCCACCACCAGGCCTCACTGTCAGGGAGGCTTCCTCCCCACAGCACTGGGACAGCACCTGTGGGGAGACAGCAGCATGGGGACGCTCTGTCCCTGGGATGGGCATCACATCCCAAAGCAACAGGCTCTGACAGTCAAGGCTCCCAAAGCAGGTCCAAGAAAAAAACTCATGGTGATGATGCTGTGGGGATAGTGGCACAACTTATTCCCAGTGGGAAATTACTTTTGGGGTCAACAAGCCAAAAACCCCGGCAGGGTGGTGCCCACCCAGCTGTGCAGAGAGAGAGGGCAGGAGGGAGCAGCTCCACTTCACCAAGCTCTGAAATCCTGTCCCAGCGACGGCCCCAATCACGGGCCAGGCCACTGTGACCACCGGACGGATGAAGAGGAGGACAAAGCGCCATTGATGAGCACAGCCGTGTCCCCAGACACCCTCTGCCAGGGAAGGCTGCCAGCCGCCACTGCTGACGCCAGGGAGTCCCCCTGCCTTGGCATCCCCTACGCATGTCCCCATGAGAGGGGACGTGGCACTGGGACAAGCCCAGCTTCCAGCAGCCCAGGACACTGGGGTACCAAGCTCGGCTCTTGCTGGGAGGGACATCCATCACCTCCAATGAGGAGGTGGCCAGCGGTACAATGCCATCATCTTGGTGGGAAATGCCTCTTCTGGGACCTGCATGGGAGACGAGGTCAATCCCCAGACAGGGACACAGCCACTTCCACCCAATCACACACAGCTCCCACCCCTGCCAAGTTGCTCAAGGGCAGTCCCAGTGCCCTAAGTGGTGATGCTGGTGACATGGAGGAATACAGCCCCAGTGGCTCCATCCTCACTGGGAAGACCCCTGTGCCTGCAAGCAGAGCTGGCACCAGGCATCGAGGGCCCCCCCAGCCCCATCTCCCAGGAGGTACCCTACTCTCTGTGCCCTCCCAGCATCTCGAGTCCTCCTGTATCACCAGGCTCAGGCCGGGAAAACACTGTCATCTCCTTCTATTCTTGCCCTGCAATAATATTTTCCCAGCTCAGAATAACATTGGCAAAGTCGTCGGGCTCCTTTTATTGTTTCAGGCGAGGCTTCCCCTTCTGCTCCAGCCCTGGCAAATTCTTCCTGTGCCTCAGGTTACATGGGCTCGGGGCACCTTCTCCTTCCCCAGCTTCATCTGCCCAGGGAGGAGCACCCTGCCATGCCCCATCCATCCCCAGGGTGTGGATCCCATAGGAGCCCCCCCCGGGCGGGGAGCCCCTCCGGGGGGGACAGCAGAGAGCTCGGAGAGCACCAGGCTGTGCTGCGATGCTCCTGGCGCATGCAGCAGCAAAATGCTCTTTCCCCTCTTGCACAAGCCACTGCTGGAAGTCAAAGCAGAAGGAAAAGAGCAGCTTGAAGTGAGAGGGAGAGCTGGGGATGCAGCCACCCCTGCACCCATGGCACAACACCTTCCCCTATGGCCCCCTCCAAACGTTGCCCCACAGCCAGAGCCGCTGGCCACACACAGCCCAGGCCAACAAGCTAAGAGGAAGAACCTTCATTTCCCCCCAGTTCTCATTTCAAGAAGCTTCTAATGGTTTTAATTGAAATTTTCATTTTCTTTTTCTTCCCTCCAGGGAGAAGGCGGTGGCAGAATTTGTTTCATGGGAAATTTCAGTTTCTGTTTCCAATTTGGAAGAGGAACAGAATAATCAGCTTAAGAATTGAAAAAAAAAAACTTCAAAAGGTTGCTCACTCCCTGCAGGAGGCCGAGGAGCCCGCCCAGCCCCGGGGAGCCCCTCACACCTGGGGAATGGCACAGCCGGATTTCGGCTGGTGTGGATCAGACACTGAGCTAGACCCTGAGCCCCATGACCAAGCTCTGCTGGGACCCCAGACCTCCTAGCCCTGCTGCCAAACCCAACCTGAGGACACCAGATCCCATCACATGGCAGAGCCAGGAGCCATCCCAAGTGCCTGCCACCTCCCAGGGTAAGCAGGGCCACTGCATGCCTCGGTTTCCCCCTTTCAACAGGGAGGTAGACCCTGGGGCCGCCCGGTCTGCCCCAGGACAGAGCCAGGGACGCAGCCAGCCTGTGCCCCAGGGCTGTGGGTCCCCAACCCAGGCAGCACAAGGGCAGATGGCAGCTTTTCCCTGACACAGGGACGTGCTCTGTGCTCCTGGGGTTCTCCGAGAGCTGGGCTCCCCCTCTTCGGGAAGAGGGAAGCTGTGCATTACACGATTGATTTTTTTTTTTTTTTTTTTTTTTAGAGCAGCTTCATTGCTTTTAGGAAGGAAGGAAGGAGATTGGGGTGCTCTGCACTCCTCTGTCAAGTTTGACTGGAAGCAGCCCCTGGATTAAGCTGGCAGAGCAGGGCATGCAGCGAGCCAGAGCAGGATCACGGGGAGAGTTTTAATTAAAACCAACCACTCCCAGCGCAGCACCCCAAGGGCCCCCCTGGCCCCCCAGCACCCAC